GTTGTATGCGCTAAAAAAAAAGGAATTGCAAGTCTCCCGTGCAATGACAAAATTTAGCATGTATGCTCGGGCTTTATATAATCTATCTCTCATGAGCAGCCATTTGTCCAATTCACTCGTTTGTGTGTGTGTGTGTGTCTATATATATATATCACTTTTTCACCAAATTTCAAAAATAAAATTTTATAATTTTAAAATATAATGAAATCTTTATTTTCTCTAAATTTAAAAAATCATCGTAATCATGTCATTTGTAAATGATGTGTTAAGCCACATCCGATCGTTGTTGTTTGTCATCAATTGTGGCGGAGCCGATCGATGATATGAACGGAAGCTCGCTGCAACTTTGCTTTTCCGACATGAAATCTCCACAACATGGATGGGAGAGGGAGTCGAAGAGGAAGCAGGATCTTGGTGATATAGCGGCCAAGCCGACCGATGATATGGACGGAAGCTTGCTGCAACTTTGCTTTTCCGACGTAAAATCTCCACAACATGAATGGGAGAGGGAGCCGAAGAGGAAGAAAGATCATGGTGATCTAGCTACGGAGCCGATCGATGATATGAACGGAAGCTCGCTGCAGCTTTGTTTGTCCGACGTAAAATCTTTACAACATGGATGGGAGAGGGAACCGAAGAGAAAGAAGGATCTTAGTGATCTCAGGAACTCGGATGATGAAGATGGAAAAACTCCATGGTTGCGACTTGGGATCGGATCCAAGTCTGATGAAGCTGATGAAGAAGGTGAGCATGAAGGTGAGCATCACAGCGAGGGACATTGAGGGACCAAGCTTGAGAAAGAAACTGAGATGGCGGTTGCAGCTTTCTAAATTATTTAATTGAAAATTCATTTTTTTTTATTATTTATTAAAATGGATTTCTTTAATGTATGACTTCAAGAATATTGCAGTAATTAAAGAATTATATGAGTGCACATATCGACATTTATTTTGGGTTAGTTATGTAATATAAGAAAATTTCATATGTACATTTAATCAGCTAATTTTATTGGCTATATAATGTTTGGTTGATTGATGTATTAAATGAGTGATTGATCCGAATGCTTTTTAATATATATATGGTTTATTAAGCATCATGTATAGGAGTCAGAGTTATAACTGATATATATTGCTATTTTTCATAAGGTTTGTGTCCCTTATTTCTTTCGGGATAGAAGTCGGAGTCTTTATTTTGATTTATTGACAACATGATGGTTTTTTTTAGTTGATTGTCAAATTTTCTTGATTAAATACCATGAAAAATTCATTTGATTAAAAATGTCATTTTCTTATACTTATCATTATTTTTTATATTTGTAATGTACTCAATTTTATTGAGAGTTTTTAGGTTTAGCGTAATTTTTATATGCATAACACCTAATTTTTATATATTTATATATCTAACAACTAAATTTTATACTAATTTGACATTGCTACCTTCCAAATTTAATACCACTTTAAACATACTGGCTTTCTAACTTTTGGAAATCCCAATTCACTCTTAGAAAGTTGGTAGATGTTTTAGTTTTATATTATATTAAAGATTTGAGTGAAATGCATATAAAAATGAAGGATTACGTTAAATATGTAAATGCATATGAATCGTATGGTATGTATATAATATTATATTGATGACAATAAAACTAAAATGCATCATTGAAAGAGAACATGGTCTCTATTTGGCGTTGTAGGAAGCATTTTTGTGGTGTTGCATGGTGCAACACTGTTTTTATGCAACGGCGATGACACAAGCCTATGAGGGTATCTCTAGGAGTAATCGTTGCTTCCTAGTGCAACATTGATTATTTTTTTTTTCTTGATAGAGTTGGCTTCAGGTGATGGGGATGGTCTCTCTCATTACGGAGGAATCATTCACAGATTTGGGAGGAAGAAGAATGTAGCTCCTTGGTGTGGCACCACACGAACGAGCACTACTTTATTAGGGTATACAATAATCACCATTCACTCCTTATATGCCACCTTCAACCCCAACAACATCACCACCGTACCACACATTGTTGCTTCCACCATACCACCACCGCCGCCTACATTTCATGCAGTTTCATGTCTGTCTAATGGAATAGATTTAGGTGTGTTAAACAACACACATTATAAATTCAACTTAGAGCCCACTATAAATACATATTCAATGCTAATACAAGTAAAATGTAATTTGTTTTTTTTTTTTTTTGGTTTTTGTAATATAAACTAATAATATTTTAGATTTTTTCCATCTACAAAGATCGTTCATGTTATACGTGAAATCATACAAAAAAAATGTGATGTTTCATGCTCATCATGAAAGGAGATTCCCTTTGAAGTACAAGTTATGTGACTTATTTAAGTTTCATATAAATTCTAAGCAGTAATCTTAAGTTATATAACTTTATGAATCTAATGTGTTGAAATTCATGATGCAGAAGAATTTCTCCTTACAGTCCGAGCATAATGCACATACTAAAAGGACTTTGAGTCTAGAGGGGGAACCCTTTTGTGAGATACATTCACTAAGATATACCACAAGGGTTAGTGCCTCTATTGCTTTGAGAGGATGTGTACACCCAGTTGCGTTGAGCTTAGGAGTCTCCTAACTTTGTCAAGAGGCGGTAGCAGGAAAAATGTGTACACCCAGTTCCTTTAGAATGTGGGGGTATGGGCACCATTAGCATTCTCATATTTGGAGTGCAAAAAGTGTATGGTAAAAGTTATTGCATATATTAAATTTTAGTGGATAAGAATTATTTAATAATTTTGTTTTATCTTATCAAACTCTAAAATATGAACAAGAGCCCACCATCAATGAGGGGCATATTGGATTTCATTAGTATTAGTCGGGTTACCACTGGGTCGACACGAGATCACAGGGAAGACATGTAAGTGTCAGGGACTCGAGAATAACTTTTCTATCAGTACAATTATTTATTTATTTTTCATTAAGTATCCATTATAATTTTTTGTAGAATATGTACCGACAGTTAGAGGAGGCTCAGAGTCAGTAGACAAGAGGAGTTTCTATCCCTGGTATTGATCAGTCGGACTATGAGATTTGAAGAGAAGTTGTTGGGGTAGTAAGAAGAAGGGAATGATTTATGGCTTGGGTCACAAGGACATGAGTACGACGGACACCACTCATTTATTTAGGAGACCTCTACATTTATCCAAGATGATGAAGTTCATTTCGTAGGTAAGTTACAACAACCAATATAATATTGTAGAGGCTTGAGTTGCATAGATCAACTCGCTAAGATGGAAGCGAGAATGAAGATGAAATTGGAGGGGTGACGTGAGGCACATTGGAGAGGGAAGCAACCAATGGAGAAGGAGGTAGAGGAGGATTGGAATGAGGATGGGGATGAGGAGACCGACGAGGAGGAGGATTGTTGTTATTTCATTTATTGTTCTAAGACATTTGGGAATATGTATGTATTAGTTATGCACAAATTATTTCATTTTATGATGTTTAATAAATTAAATTAGAATAAAGTTATGTTTAATTAATAATTATATTTATATGGTTTGACTTTAGTAGCTATGTGGATTGAGAAATTAGAATGTGTGATGCATACTTCATTTAATTTTTTGATGCAATTACAAGTGTAAAAATTATATAGAAAAAAAGGAGGCTCTATAATTTTTTTTTAGGGTCAATATTTTGATGGTCAATCAAGGGCCCTCCGATGGGTTATCGATATCCAAACCCCGATAGGTAATGTCATGTCTATCTCTTAACTGATGTTAAACCGATAGGGAGCCATCAATTTCTCAATAAGTTTGAACCGACAGAAATGTTACCGTAAAAAAATAATAACTATGGGCAAAGGATCGTTAGAATGTCCTCGAAAATATAAGGTCGTCCGAAACCCTTTGTCAATTGTCTTACTAGGATGATAAAAACAGCAAACACCCGTCAAATAGCTTTTGCTTCTTTAAATAACTAACGACAAATTCAACATTACCAACAGTTGCAGCAGGCTAAAAATTGCTTAAAATGGCCTAAAATTTTGTAGTGACCCCTCAACGGCTCAATTCATTCAGAGTTCAAACAAGAGAAATAAGTTTGTAATCAACTTCGAATAATTTGATGCAGTTTCCAAGTAGGCGTAAGATAACATATAAGTTGCATGTCATGGCAAGCACAGAACTTAGCAAACTTTATTATATCAAATAACGCAAGTTTGTTAGCTTAAATATCCGGCAGATAAATAATTCAATGATAGGTGTATTAAATCAAATAAATCAAATAAATAAAATAAAAAAAAGGTTAACCTTGTTTATGTATGTGCTGCAATATAATAAAAAAGGTGAAGTATTTGCACTCTCTCTCTCTCTCTCTTTTTATTTTTCTTTATTTACAAATTTATTGTAGACTTCTGATGAAAATTGCATTGCTAACGGTTAAGTAATTGAATTTTTTATTTTATTTTATCCATCATAGGTCTGCATATTAATTATTTCTTGGTACATTGTATGATGAATTTGAAGTTATTTGTAGACTTATGTCCGAAAATGAATGTAAATGCTAAAATTTAGGCGGTAAACATGTAAATATATAAGAACTGTATGTGGCGTGTATGTAAATGCCGTAAATAGGGTGAAAAAATTACATCCACTAGTTGGGTAGACTTTTTAGAAGGGTGAGGTCTACTTGGGACGTGCTAAAATTTAGGTGGAGTCCGTGGATGTAACATTTTTTAGGAAGTTAGAAAAGAGGAGGAAAGCCAAAGCTGGTCATTCGAAAGGTATTTACATATCCCCACCACCACTCATTTTCCATCAAAATCTACTTCCACCACCTCCCATTTCAATTTTACGGAGAGATTTTAGCTCTTTCACAGAGCCTAAAAAAACTTCCATTATTTAAAAAACTTCCATTATTTAAAACTTCCATTATTTAAAACCACCCATCCCTCCCTTTCAATTCCCTTTCCCTCCTCTAAATATGTCAACTCCTCTTTATCTCCATATTAGTCTCAATCTTCCTGTCTCCCCCCATCCGACTGCATGGAGCCAAAGAAGATAGACCCGGAACAAAAGTATCAATGTCGAATCTGTAACAAGGGATTCAGTTGGCGAAGAGAATATGAAGAGCACATTCGGACCCATGGTTTCGAAGATGAAACCGTTATCGAGAAAGAAGAAAGGATGCCCACCGCCGTAGCTGGTGGAGACTTCGCCCTTGATATGCCGACATACAATAGAGAGCTCCTTCCATGGAATTCACACTTCAAACCTGATTATAGCAGCTCTAGTATTGCTGCTGCAGCTTCCGGCAATGATGATGACGGCCGAGATGGCCTTACTCCACCTTCACCGCCCTGCCCTTCATATAAAGGTAAACGAATCGAACGCGATAGGGAAAACTGTGGTAGCACCGATCGTCAAACTCCGTCTCGCACACAAGAAGAAGATGTGGCTCGTTTCCTCGTCGAGCTGTCCAAGGCCTTCCTTGAGCGTGCCCCTGTCTCGAACCAAAGCCATCCTGCAGGTTACGAATGTGATAATTGCAAGAAGGTCTTCCCATCCCATCAGGCCCTTGGCGGCCATCGAGCCACCCACAAAAAAGTTAAGGGTTGTTCCGCCGTCAGCCTCGAAATTAGATCAGCCGGCACCAACAACAAGCAGATTAGAAACCAAAATAACAATGTCGATAATCAATATAATAAGGCCAGTTCTTCGTCAGAAAATATGGCACTACCGATTGTCCCATTGGCAGAATATCCGCCGCGACGTCCGTTGTCACCGAGGAAATATCCTAAGCCTCACATATGCAAGGAATGTCTCCGGCAGTTTTCGACTGGTCAGGCGCTTGGTGGGCATATGCGATGCCATCGGAAACCATCAAATATTACGGCTACTGTCACCGAAGCTGCTGTCGCTGTAAACCAGACGATAGCCGCTGCCCCCACCACGGAGGTAGAAGTAGGAGCTGGTAGCAGCGAAGTGAACGCAGTACAACCTCGTAGCCCAACTCTTGTCCCTCTGTTGTCTAATAGATCATATCGTAATATAGACCTAAACGTGGAGCCGGAGTCGAGTGAAGATATGGACGGAAGCCCGCTGCGGCTTTAGTTTTCTGACCCGAAACCTCCGGAATCTGCATGTGATACGGAGTCGAAGAGGAAGATGGATCTTGGCGATGAGGGTGAGCCAGATAGCGAGAGACAGTGAGGGGAGCAGCATTCTAAATTGTTTGTTTGATTTTTCTTTTTATTATTGTTTTTTTTATGTAAGTTGGCTATCTCATTGTTTAATGGTAAATCAATATCTGACTAGTTTGCCATGCAACACATTGCTTGGCTACAAAGTGCACCGCATAAGCAGCAATCTATGCTTAAAATTTTTCAATCTATGTACTAGTTTAAGCTAGTCCGAGATTTATAAATGGATGGCCAAGTGCCCATGAAGGACAACATAAGCCTGGTTTCACATATCCTGCATTATTACCTCACTTTCTTTGTCTTGAGTGTTTTTAATTCTAATGGTGTGTGCACAGATAAATAAATTAGCAAGCAAAATATGGCTTATTTATAATGTAGTAATTTTAAATAAGTTGAAAAATATTAAACTTTAAGAATTTAAGCATACAGTTGTTAAAACTACATAAAAATTCATTCTTCTCTTACCATGATAGAATTATTATGATTTATCATCTAACTTTCAGTAAAATATTCATTGCAAAAATCTATAATTCAATTAATTAATTAGGCTAAAACTCAAATTTGGTGCAACTTAAATCTGCTGGAACACTTTAAGCCCTTAGAGGTTATACCTAATCATTTCTTGAAGTTACTATATTTTTCATTTGAGAGAAAACAGTTTTCTTCACATTACACCTATTTTGCATAATATTTTTGGTATCTTTCATGCATATCACCCAATTCCTTATTCCTCTGTAGATAAATATCTAGTCTAAGTAGAAGCACTTATCAGTTAAGAGTAAAACATATATTTGAAATAAGAAAATGAAGAATTTCATAGTTATTTTAAGTGTATGATGTCATCTGTGTTTAGTGCTTTAGCTGAGAGATAATGAATCATTTGATCCAAATGAACATTTTTTAAGGATATTTAGTTAGCTTGTTTGAATGATGACTCTATAAGAAAACTTGAGGCAAACATTGTAATTATTTTATGCAAGTTAAGGAGATCATATTTCTCTTTTTATTTATTTATTTATTTTTTGGACTCTGTGGAGCACTTGGCAAAATATATTTCTTATTAGGCTAGAGTCGAAAGTTCATAACAACAATGATGAATGTACTCATTTAATAAGGAATTTCCAACACTAGGATTTGAAAAATGTTTATTTTACCATGCGTACTTTCTAAGACAATTGCAAATTTTTTAACAAACTAAAATAATTTGTGAAGAATAAAGCATGCATTAAAAGCTGAATTTATTTTTTCTTCAAACAAAAAAAAGTATGTTTGTATTTAGCTTTGGTTGGTTTGATTCAGTTCTTAGTAGGCGTACATGATCATCTAAGTTGACCAAAATTAAACTCAAGAGAAGTTACACTAAATTTTTTCTTCGAGTTCAGCACTAAATGTTGATTTCTGAGGGAGATGGCATGACATGAGCTCAAGTATAGGAAGATCAAAATCAAAGTTTAGTAAGCAAGCAACCTGTTGGAGTTGTGGCAAAGCTGGCCACATAAAGAAGAACTGCAGGAATTCTAAGAAGATGGAGAATGATAGCGCAAATGTGGTATCTGAAGAATCACAAGATGCACTATTGTTAAAAATTCATAGTTTTGTTGAAGACTTGATATTGGATTCAGGGGCTTTGAATATGGTAGGAAATCTACCAAAGGCCACAGTGCAGGGAAGTGATGGAAGTGAAGAGAAAAGTAGGTTCGAGGCACCCATTCCTATTGTTCCACAAACATATATTGAAGAACCAAAGAGCTATGAAAAAATCTTGCAGAAAGTTTGAGCAAGTGGGAGCTGGCAGAACTTCCACCAGGGAAGAAGTCATTGCACAACAAGTGGGTGTACCAGATGAAGACTGAGTGTGATGTCGGTAAGAGGTACAAGATTAGACTTGTTAAAAAAGGCTTTTAGCAGAGGCAGGATGTTGTCCATGTAGTAGGAGTTGTAAGAAGAGACAAGAGTGACCCAGTAAATAGCTTGGAGGTGCAAAGCTATGTGGAGCATGCTGATATATTGTCTGAGGGTGTTACTCTTGAGAAATTGAAGTTGTGCACGACTTCAGTTGGTCTTTTGGAGTGAAGACAGAGGCTTTGAGTTGCAGAGGTGGAGGATTCATGATGGAGGATTCATGTTGAAGGAAAAAAGGGTGACACCGCTAGTAGAGGATATCAGTTCGAGGAAGAAGATGTTGCAGTCTGTGCACCGGTCTCCAAGTGAGATTTTTTATGCTAGAGGCCGATCCGCCCAACCCGATTCACGCTCGCGCTCCTATGTCGCGAGCTGTCGAGCTAACCGCTCCCTCTCCCTGCTGTCGCACCAACTGCTCTCGATCCCTCTTCCTGTTCGCGATAAAAGGTTTGCATGGCTCTCCTTCAGTTCAGAAGTCATGATACGCTTCTTCTTCGGACTTTCACGAGACAGTGGAAGGGGCTTCCTCAGGACAGAGAAAGAGAAGTGCAAGGAGGAGCAGTTCCTTGCGGCATAAAAAAGAAGAAAGAAGAAGAAGATTGTTCTTCCTAGGCTTCTTCTTGTTGGCTTGTGGCTAAAGAGAAATTAGATTTATTTCTCTTGTACGTGTTTCTTCTTCTATGTATCTCGGTGTAGAGTTTCTTCGGTGTATCTCAGTGTAGAGAGAGAAAAATAGAGAGAGAAGAAGAGAGAGCAACAAAAAGAGAGATTCCTCTTGTATGTCGAGGTAATCGAGTGGTGTAAATTACTCAAGTAGTAAAATCCTCTGCAACTCCATGGACGTAGTCAATTTGTCAAACCACGTAAATCTGTGTGTTCTTTAATGATGTGATTTTTCTCGTTCTATTTTTCGCTTCGTCAATCGTTCTCCTGTTTGATTTATATATATACCACATCAACTGGTTGGTATATTTAACAACACGTTTTTCTATGCATTGTAGGTATAAAAAAATGGGTAAGAAACATCATTCATTTTTTTCTTTATGTATGGATTTATAGTGAAAATTTCATTCAAGAGTTCACCCCATACTATAGACCTGAACATGCCTGACATAAATATTCACAACATAGATGAGATAATGAGCCTATAAGGAAAAAGCCCAAGGCCACTGCTACAAATGTTAATCAGGATGAGACTGAGAGCAGGTAGGTGAAGGTGGTTGATCATGGCGATCTCATGAACATGGAAGAAAAAGATGGAAGCTTTGCATTGTTGCAGATTAGGATCGGACCCATCTCCAATGCAGATGATAGTACATAACTTGTAAATCAAAATACGAGTCCGACTCTTTATTGATTGAAGCAAGCGACAGTCAAAATCACTAGGGCGAGCGAATTAGAGAGCAAAGGATAGATCCAAGCAATAGAGACAGTGAGGTGATCATGACGAAATTTTATTAAATTCTACTAAAACTGAATATTTTAGTTAATGACAGTAGAGTGACAGATTATTGTTTTAACATGGTATGAAGATTCAACAGACTATTAGAAAAGAGAAAGCAATTAATAATGACACCATAAGTTTTTATGTGGTAAACTCGGAAAGTGAAAAATCAAAGTGTCTGACGCAATTAAAGAGTTCCACTATAAAAATTTGATTATAGCTACAGTCACTTGTCCCACAGACGGGAAATGGTTACTAGGTTTCCCATGTTACGATATTGACATATTGATGAATTTGTTGTTAGGAATGTACGGCGATCGATAGTGATTGGTTACATCTAGTCTGTGGTGGTTAGCGGTGGTTGGTTGTGATCGATGATTGTTGGCGTTGGTCGACGGAGATTGACGGTGATCGATGACGATGAGTGATTGTCAACGGAGGACAGTGGTGGTTGACAACTGTTAACGTTGGTTGACGGCAATCAGCGAAAGTCGACGACGGTCAACGGTGGTCAAGGAGGTCTGCGTGATCGACGGCGGTCCAAGATGGTGGTGCACAAAAGATTTTAATCAACCGTGAAGAATAATTTTTTTTTCCTCTAACATTACACAAAATATTTTATACAAACAAATAAACAGAAGAGTATAAGAGACACCGATTTAATGTAATAATGAAGACCACAAACCCTAGCCTAGCCTAAAGGACATAGTCCTTTCTGCTCTAGTTGGTGAAGATATGACTATAAAGCAATGATTCAACTCAAACTCATTTTTTTGTTTTCATGAAGGAAGTAGTCGATTTGAAGATGGCGTGGCGATATCAATTAGATAATAGTGGTCAAGTAGTTGTTGTTGGATAACAGTGGTTGGTTAATCATAGTTGTCAATGTTAAACATTCAGTTAAGGACTGAGTTTTTCATATCTCTTAAGTTTTAAAATTTTTAGAATGTCATTTTAGAAAATCTAATCAAAATTTTAAAATGATCCATCAAGCGATTTGCAAGTATTTATTTGATCATAAACTAATTTTTTACCATTTAATGTTTCAAAAATCTTATAATGGAGTGATATTATAAGATTTTTGTTATCATATCAAATAAATCCTCTACATTCTGAGTGCTTGATTTAGACTCATTGTGGCATGAATTGGATCACCTTTGATGTTATTTTTGTCATTTGAAATTTAAATTTGCTAAAATTTGAGCTCAAATGATCTTAAATTTGACTAAAGAAGAAGCTCTCATACAAAACGTGTATTGAGACCCATGCATGCTCAAATGATAGGCTTTATGGTGGAGAATTGGTTCTTTCTATATCTTAACATGCCATATATCATTAATAAATTTATCTTGTTTCCTTGATGAGCTAAGCCAAGTAAAAAATAAGCCAGCTTAAATTTAACACATTTGCACCCTATTGATTTAATTTGGTCTTTCTTTTTCTAGGATTTTTTTAGTACTCTTTCGGTTAATGCTCAATTAATGGCATCATGATCACTTTTTTGTTAATCATTTTTGTTCAATATTATATTTAAATATGAAACTAATATATGATGGCCCAAGAAAAGAAAAAAAAACTAATCACTAATATATATAATCTACTTTCCTAACTCTCAGAGTAAATTATGTTATACAATTATACAAGATTAAGTTGATTCATTTATTGGAAGAAAATGCTCTGCCTTCTTCAAGGTATTTGTAGCACTAAATGATTTTTCTTGTACAAAGATTGTGTGAAGGCCAAAGACTCTTATCTTCACCTCCGCCCCTACAAAGCTCAAAGCCCTGAGAAGAGCTCTTGTTATATTTAAGAGTTGGCGATGAAGCCATTAAATAACTTGGCTCTAGCCAAAGAAGAAAGGCAAAATAAATTTTTGATTTATTACGTTAAAAATTTTTT